TAAGTTCTGGCCTCCTTGTTTGTCATCCTGCCCTGCGTGTGGGACAGACATTATCCCTCCTGTGGCTATCAAGAACTGTCCCTTCCTGTCCTTGCATGCTGGGTGTCTGTGCTCTCAGACTCTTTGCACCTGGCTCACAGCTACTAAAGGGCAGGAAAGTGATTGTGTGAACTCAGAAACAGGCAAACTCCAGCTCCTGTAGACAGCCCAGCCAGGCTGCAGTGGATAAACAGAAAATGAGATAATATAAAAGGATACAATACTGAGGAAAGTAAGTTTGAAGGACTGAAGATACAGAATTAATGATACCAAGCAAGGACAATTCATGAGCAACTCCTTCTGACATATGTCTTCCATATGACACTAAAATCAAAATAAGCTGCTTTGTTTTGTTAATGGTACTGGGGATTGAACTAGACCTTTTGCACTATGATGCAACCTTAACCTTTTTTTTATTTTTTTATTTTAAGAATATGGTCTCTCTAAATTGCCCAGGCTGGAGTTGAACTTGTGATCCTCCTGTCTCAGCCTCCAAGAGTGTTGGAATTGCAGACATGTGCCACCAACAGCACCTAGAATAAAATTTCGAGTAGTCCTATAGCCACCAAACAGCACCACACTTTCTGAAAGAGATGAGATTTTAAGTGTTTTTTGACTTGTAGAAAATTGCTAAATTAGAAAAGTATTTAAAATTTCATAGTAAGAAAAAAAAAGTGAGGTGTGTTTAGATGAGCAGATCATGATGATCAACACTGAAGGTGACCAGCAGGTCGGACCTGAGGGAAGCTGGAGCTACCTGCTGCTTCCTGGCGTCTCTCCTCCACAGATGGGCAGAGGTGAGACCAGCGGGGCCTGATGGAATATGCTGGCTCTTGTTTCTTACCCTAGGCTTATTGTCCCAGGGACATCATTGCATCCTTTTAAATCTGTTTCCCCATCTGTAACAACATCACTGATACCTAACAATGAGGACTGTTGCCAAGACTGAAAACGACGTACGTGAAACCATAGAAAGCAAGCAATAAAAGGGGCCATAGATTTGACCTTTCAAGGTCACAAAACAGCTACCCTCATAGAGCTTCTTAGTTTCCTTTTCCCTCCAGAGTGCTAGAGGAATAAACTTACCTCCATGCTTCCAACTATTCCTAACTGCCTGCACTTTGGATAAGTTTTTCCACCCAGTCATGTTTCGAGATTCACACATGTATTTTTGTGCCAATAATCATACAGTACAAATATATATAATTTTTACAGCTGTCAATATCTTTAAACACAACATAATTAAATCAAATTAAATAACACTTTCCTAATTCTGTGTATTTGAAGTATGTTAAATTTTCTATACTAAAGGTCAGAACTGTTTCATGAAATACCTTATATCTCTGTGCTGGCTTTCTTATTTGGTAAATATATATTAGTTATAAATAAAACATATGTTAGGCATAAATTTTTTAGAATACAAACAGCATGAACTTAATAAAAGTTAATAACTAGGAAAATCAGATTAGTATAGTATAAAATGTCTTTTATTAACCTACAAGTCTGGTAAAGAATGTTACCATAATTTATTAGTACATGCTAATATTACATAATAGTAGGGCTTGTTTGGGGGAGTTGATACACACACTTAACATGTCTTAGTCAGTTTCGATCCTATTACTCCCTCTTTTGTCCTAAGCATAAAGTTTTTTAAATTACTACATCGAAATCATCATGTCAAGAATTTCAAAGTCAGAGTGCTATGTTCTCCCTGGAAGCATTGCATTTGGGAGATGGAAGATGAAGATGTGATTGGCTCTTTCATCTGTTTCACAATTGCTTCTAGAAGTAACACACATGTCTACACTGGAGACTGGAATGAAATGTACAGGCCTTATTACATAATCTTGCCTCTTTACATAATCCTGTTGATTTTTGACAAGTATGAACCTTTAAAAATGTTCACAGTTTTGATAGTTGAACTCTGCAAAGAGATCAGGGGTCCAATCCCTTAAAAAATATTTACTTACTTTGGAAGAAAAAATGTATCTTAGAGTTTTAGAAATCTTAGATTCCCTTTTCTTTGTCCTCTCAAATTCCTTCTCATGGCTCCCACATAAGTTCTGCCTTGCTTTAGTGATCCTGAATGAGCTTGTAGGCTAGTAATTTTTTTTCTTTACTGAGTTGTGTCTGAGGAAGAGACGTTTAAATTGATTATTGTCTTAACCAGTTCCTTGACAGTACATTACCCCACCCAGGGCCAATAAAATATTGATGGAATGATAAAACTGAAGACTACCCATGATTCAGTAATTCAAAATTGTAAACATCTTTTGTACCTAACGGTCTTTAGAAGGACAACTCAATAGGTGATGGGGAGGTATATTGGCATGCAGATATCCATCATATTTTATTGTATAAATTAAAAATAGATTGAATCTTTAATATGTGTCCCTATGGAATACATTTTACTGGATTCAATTGTTGATTATGTGCTCATGAAATTGGCTAATTACCTTAGGAGATGCTTAGTGCATATTAATTTGAGGTCTTGTGTTGATTATGAGAATCTTTGGTTCATATTTAGCCTCCGTTTAGAATAGGGTGTGCACTTGAAATGTAACTGTAAGCCAGTCCTTAGGAGGGACAGCACGGCATCTTGGGAAGATCCCGGAATGGGGAAGTGGGAATCTGGATTCTTGTATTCAGCAGCTCTGTAGCTTCAGGCTAGTCACTTACCTACCAGAATTATAACAGGTTTATCTACTGCATAGAAATAGCATGTGAATTGGGGAAATTACTAGTAATCATTACCAATTTGGAAACAGAAGAGGAAATAGCCCTACATGCACATTTCCAAGGTACTACCTTACTCACAATCATTTAAGGGTAAAATGTTACCTTAATATTGAAATCCCTTTAGAGCATTAAAAAAATTGATAATCCAAAGTATTGATGATGGTATAGAGCAACTAGGATTCTCACCCATTGCTGGTGGGAATATAGAATGATACAACCAGCTCGGGAACAGTGTTGGAGTTTTGCAGAAAGCTTAATGTGCACTTAAAGTATGGTTCAGTTAATCCACTCCTCTTTTCATAAATGAATCAAGACCAAAAGTAGACATATACTTGTGTGTAAATGTTTGTAACAGCTTAATTCATCATAATGACTCCAAAATGGAGACAACTCAAATGCCCATCAATGGAGATATATTCTATTTGGCAATAAAAAAAAGAAAAGAATGAGCTACTGATGCATGTAACAAAATGGATGAGTCGCAAAAACAGCTTGCTAAGTAAAAAGTAAAAGACACTGGCTGTGCAAAGCTGCATACTGTATGATTCCATGTCTGCAACCAGGCCAAGTGAAAACACAGTAGAAGAAAGCACCCCACTGATTGGACAGAGACTGAAGAGGGAAGCGATGGCAAAGGGAGAGGTAATTTTGTGGAAGGATAAGAAAGTTTTCTGTATTGTGATGATCTCATAGGTGTTCTCATTTGACAAAATTTCAACTGTGTTTGAAATGGGTGGGTGTATGGTATTATCTCTAAACTGTGTCTCATAAAGTGAATGAAAGAAATGGACACACAATGAAAGGCAGTGATGAATGCAAAGTGGACTTGATCCAGGCTGGCTTTTAGGTACCAAAAAGAAGGACCAAGATCAGTGCCTGTTTTACAAGTGGCCTCACACTGAAATTCAGGGCCAGACCTCGTACTGCTGCCAGGCTGACCCTCCTGTATGACCACCTTGCTCTAGAAAAACTCTCTTTAAACACAAACCTGCTAACCCACTTGCAAAACAGGGCTTCTGCGGAGGCTAATCATTCACCTGCTCCACGCCCTGGGCCACCCTGGTGCCATCTTTCCAGGAGAACAACACAGGATGAAGAGGAAACCCTTGCAGGCCTCCAAGTGGACGTGGAACCTGCTATCTTCTCCCTTTTCTCTTTCCTTCCCCTCTTCAGCTCTGCTCCCCTCACCTCTCAAAGCAACTAATCCTTTGCTAATTTGTAAAGAATTGATAAATGATCAGACATCCAGGCAGCCTCCCTAGCTGGGCATAGTGACGCACATCTGTAATCTCAACACTCCGGGAGGCTGAGACAGGAGGGTAGCCAGTTTGAGCTGGTCTGAGCAACTTAATGATGCTGTCTCAAAATAGAAATGAATAAAAGGCTGGGACTATAGCTCAGTGGAAAAGCCCTATTTCAATGCCTAGTAGCCCTGCCGTTGCCACACAGTCTTCCTTAACACACACGGAATTTTTAAATTAAATGAATTCTTCCTTACCGCACTGTGACTATTAGCTTGGACCCCAAGCTCAGACTTCCTGTGAACAGAAATCAGCTGAATGAACCTATAAAGCCATTCAACCTCTCTGTGCCTTGGCTTTCTTATTTAGAAATGAGGGTTTCAAGTTGAGCCCTCAGCACCGGGTCTCTCTTAACTTTCTGTAGCATGTCAGAGAGCATTTTGTCAGCTCCCCAGGAAGGCACCCAGGCTCTTGGGTCTGGGAGAACAGAAAGTTCCCAGGTACACTCAGCATGATTGGAATTTGCCCCCCAAGATTCCAGTTGTGTAAGATATGGTGGTGGGCCACGCCACATATTTGAATCTTGTATACCAAGTTGATTGTGTTATATTTTATCCATACTTACTTGAGAAGCTTGTCAAGTAATTGTATGAATTGTATGCTCTAATTGTATGAATAAGGAAAAAGACCAGCCACAAGCCATGGCTGAAAAACGCGGAACATTGGGTGCTGTAGCAATCAAGTAGGGAATTAGTAACATATTTATAATTATCATTAAAATGCCTGTCAATCTAGCAATACAGTATATATAAAAAAAATCCCCACTTGCCTTTTAAGTCCTATATTCCTCCTCAGAAGTATACTGTATATTCTTGGAAATAAAAAGAATTCAACCTCAGGTGAAACTTTGCTCCCTGGTATTTTCTCCTAATTTCTCATTCATGTTTTTTTTTTTTTTTTTTTTGCATCCCCTCCATGTAGCTCCACCAACCCTCCCAGACGTCAGTGGGTCAAGGAGCCTCCCAAGGGACCCTCCTGCACCTGGCTCACAGCCAAGCATCTATGTCTCAAAGTCCTGTCCGACAGCCTTCCTCCTCTTCCTCCTCATCCTCCTCTTCTTCAGCTTTGAGCGTGGGCCAGTTAGTCAGCAGTAAGTACCCTTTCTAGCTCAGTTTAAATCATGGTGGCTGTATCTCTGTCTCTGTCTCTGCCTCTCTCTGTCTCTGTCTCTGTCTCTCTGTCTCTTTCTGTCTCTATTTTTCTGTCTCTGTCTCTTTCCGTGTCTGTCTCTCTGTCTCTATATCTCTGTCTCTCTCTGTCTCTATCTCTCTGTCTCTCTCTGTCTCTCTGTCTCTCTGTCTCTATCTCTTTCCATGCCTCTGTCTCTCTGTCTCTGTCTCTCTGTCTCTGTCTCTCTGTCCCTCTCTGTCTCTCTCTGTCTCTATCTCTGTCTCTCTCTGTCCCTCTCCCCCCACCATTCCCTCTCCCTCTCCTTCTCTGAAGAATTTTCTAGCACTGCTAAGCTGACACAGGGACAAAGTCCCTCTCCAGGGACAGTTGGTTCCATAGCCCAGCCCGGGTTAACACCTGCCAGGGCCCAGCTCCATCCTCAGTGGCTCGGTGAGTCAGTCGTGCCACTTAAAAGGGGAACTTATCAGCCAGAGTTCATTACTGAAAGAAACAAAAGGCATGGAGCCAGTGGGTCAAGCCGCTTTTCTGTGTTTGAAGTCCCTGCTGCTCTGCCAAGTGTCAGAGGAAATAAAAGAGAGCAGACTGTGGGCGGGTAGGTGTGTGTGCACAGTGAGCTGCCTTCAGAGCCTGCGGAATTTGCCTGGCCCCAAGGCAGATGGGAAATATCCGAACAAGCTTTCAGGAAGAAGAATGAGCCTGCGAGCGGCCTCCATAAGTAGGCGATGTCTACAATATATGAGATGTGATCAGAATATACAGGACTGTATAATTTAAATCCATTCATTATAGTAAAAGACACATTGTCATGAATTTCCCCCAGAATACTCTCCCTCACTTCAAACACACTCATCCCATCACTCTTACCGATCTCCGAAGCAGTTCTGGAAATACCCTTCTGTGAGTGTCTTTACTAAGCACAGTCAAAAATGTGGTGAGTGCTACCCAATGAAAAAGCAGGCTCATGAGTCACGATGGCCTGTCCTCATCAACCTTGGCCACCAGTTCAGTCACCAGGAAACTGATTCTTCTCACAGCCAAAGTGATCATGAAAGGTAAACATTTCAAATCGATGCAAAATATTGAGACAGCCACAACACTGCCTCTAAAAACACTCAGAAAAGAGAACTTTCAGAACTGCTTTAGAAAGTAGCAAAGACCGTGGAAAAATGCATTCAAAGTGAGAAGAAGTATTTGAGGGGGATTAATGGCAATATTTTTTAATGTAACAAAAATTTAACTATTCATCATATTCGTCGACCATACCTCAGACATAACTTGGAGAAATGGAGTCTGACCCTAGGTGAAGACAGCAGATCCGTCACATGCTTGAAGATTAATGGGACAAGGACCAGATTAAATGTCACTCATGCATATTTAGTACAATTTTTACTTATCTATAAAGTCAAATATCATGCACATTGCTTGCAATTGTTTATAAGGTACACTGGTGGACACTGTTTACAATTCACCAGAAACCAAAAACCCAGTAGTTGTAGGGTTGAAGGATGAAGGCACTGCATCAGCTATTGTGCCTAAAATGAGGATTCATGTGAGAATCTGTCCCAGTGAAGAATGAAGAATGCTCTGTACAACAGGCACAGGAGGCGTCTTCACATAGCGTGTGGCAAATCTGGTAACGTGAAGTAACTGTCTCAAATATTACCCGCACAATATGTCGGTTTTATAGATAACTCAAGCGGGAAAGATGATTGTGTGTGGGCTCAAGACCACAAGGAGGCACTATGGGAAGAGGCTGAAAAGCCCACGTCCCTCTTTAGGCTGGCCTCAATGCTCCTGACCTTAAAGGTGGGTCAATATTAAACGGAGTTTCAGGGTTCAGGTGGTATTTTTCCATTGACCCTGCATTTTAGATGGCCTAGATTTGCAACCTCTACATATTTAGGATAGATATCCTAGTTTTACTTGAATAAAATCCACATTTTCCCCAATAAAGAAACTCCTTATAGAGTTATTGTGGGAAAAGATTCAAACTTTAGTCCAATTTAATAGTCTTCACAAGTTTATGCAAAATACACCACTCCTAAATAGCAACAATATTATAAATTTAGGGGAGGCTGCTAACCCTTGGTTTTGAAATAAAAATGACCAAAGTCAAGTATCTTATATAAACGTGATAAGTTGAATATGAAACAAAAGTATAAACTACTCCATTAATACATTATTTTGCACAAGATGAGCACTCAGTACATGCTAGATGGGCAGAGAGATGGTTGCATGGATGGACAGACCATGGACAGACAGATGAAAAGTGGGCTCTCTCTGGGCTTTTGTCACAAGCTAGACAAAGAGGGATTTGCCTTCTCCAGGAATCAGTACTTAAAGGTTGGGTGGGATTTCATTTGCATAGCAGCCATTGTGAAATCTCTGCTGTAAGTCTCTGAGGAATGATCTGAAATATAAAGACCTGGGGAGAGACCAGCTATACCATATGTGCTTGAAATAGGGAACTCAAACCTCACATGCAGAGCCTGCAGGACCATCCCACACCAACACTATGGTCTTCTCTGAAAGAGCAGATGCAGGGCACCAATGGGAGTCAGACCCTGCACAGCCCGTTGCTGGACTGACCATTGCTATGGAATTCAAGCCTGTTGCTTAGGTGTTTCCCTTCTGTCTCAACACCCAAGTACACAATGAGTGTATGGTACACGTATTTATGGAGAACGTTCCCCGGGTCAGCAATTCGCTGTAATTCATTCAAAAAACTAAGAGAAACATGTTTTTATTATGAAGGGTTAAAGATGTAAATGACAAGCTGGACAAAGAGGTACAGTGGGCAAGATCTGGAAGGGTCCTGATGCTAGGATTTCAGACTCAATTGAGTTGAGGAGTTGGATGCATTTACCACTCCGGAAGCTCTCTGAACCCTGTGTTCAGGGACCATTGAGGAGGATTTCATCAGACTGGCGTGACTAATTATTAACTTGTTCTCCAGCACCTTGCCTCTCTGCCTGGTTTTTATCATGCCTTGGTCATTCTAATGTCTGAGCCCTGTCTTGGGGTTGTGAAGAAGCCCACAAAGGCTCACCTCAATAGAACAAAAGATCTTCCTAGCACCCAAGAAATTCCAAAGCATCTAAGAGCTCTGTGTCATGAACCACAGTCAGACCAAATATTACAACAAAAGGTTCTCCTAGCATTCCTATTACTTAGGAAGTGGTACAAGCTTCAGAAGCTGCAAGCTAGATGCCAAAAACAAAGACCAAAAATACATTTCTTTCCCCCCACTTTTTTGCAACACTAGAGATTGAACCCAGGGTCTTCATACTGAGCTACTGCTCAAACTTTTTCTTTTTTTAAGAGACAAGGTCTCACTAAGTCCCTAAGTTGCCCAGGCTAGGCCTAAACTTACAATCTATCTGTTCTCAGCCTCCCAAAATGACAGAATTATAGATAAATCCCTCTTAGACTTCTTATTGTATCACAGTATCATAGAAACTCTGATCACAATTACAGTTAATGAGTCCTGCATGTCATTGTCAAAGACTCATGGCAGTGTTGGCCAATCTGCCATGGCAACAAATATCCAAATATCTTGCTCAGGCAAAGGAATGCCAAGTTCATACCTTGATAATATTGGAGGGTCTTAATATCCAAAGAATATCACATCAGGACTCAGAATACCATATAAGCATTTTTTAATCCAGGGCCTTTGCCCTGGTCTTCATACCCAGTTCTTTTTTTTATTTCTTTATTTTCAAGACAGACTCTTGCTAAGTCACTAAATGGCTTCACCCGGCTTTAACTTGTGATCCCAGAGGGATTGCAGACTTGTGCCACCACACCCAACTCAAATAACTATTCTTGATAGAAAATCATAATACCTACATACCTTGCCCTGTGTTAAGCCTTGCTCAGTCTCTAAAGTGATCAGAGATAAATATCATTTCAATACATGGAGTTTTAGAAAGTCTAGGAGAAAAAAAAAATCAAACAAATGACAACTGCTCCAATTTGGTTTAAGATTTACAGCACATTGTTTTTAAAATAGGCAGATTTTTAAATTATTTTTCAGTACACCATTTCTTAAAACTCCTGGCTTGTAAGCCTGATCCTTAGATAGCAAAGGACTGACAGTCCCAGACAACCGAAACTACAGTATAAAGTAAAAACTCCTGATTCATAATTCAAACCACTTTGTGCAATACAACAAAGTTACCGTATTGTAAGAGGAGTGTTCTCCCAAATTGTATTGCTCGGCCCTGAGTGGTTTCTTATTTTTCAGAAATATTTGCTAAGTATTCCCACTACCTGCCACTAGAATAGCACTAAAATGCAGACAAATGTCTGAGTAAGAATTTAATTTATACTTTTGGCAGCTTCTGTAAAGGTGCATATTGCTCCTATAACACCTCACAAGCTGGTCATGGAAGGATGCTGCTGCTGCCTGGAGATTGTGCAGCATATTAAACCCCTTACAAATCCCCAAGCAAACATTGGAAGTAACAAAACAGAACAACAACCGAGAACACATCTGTCGTGGTGTGTCCTGACCTCTCAACTCAGGAGGGGTCCAGTAACCATGCATTAGACTCTACAGAACAGGTTCATTTTCACACAATTTGCATTTAGCTTCCATAAAAAGAATTCTATTCACTTTTTAGTTCATACATGTATACTTTATATGGACAAGTTCTGCCTTGTACATTTGCCACGTTTCACGCCCAGGTTATCCTAAATCTCCAAATCTGTTCATCCCACTCTATCAAAAGTTAAATTCTGGATAAGCTCAAGTATTCATTACTATTGTTTTCTGACCTTATATTTAATATGAAATATGATAGAAAAATATGGTGAATGTTTATATTAAAAATTTGTATTACCATAAAAAATTACCATTTATTTCCCTCAAAATACTCCCCCTCGCTTTGAACATATTCATCCCATTGTTCTGGCCACTTTCTGAAGCAGTTCTGGATGTTCTCTTTCATAAGTGTCTTTTGTTGTGCTATATGCATGTCTTCGTGTCCAGAATCAATTCAAAATATTTCCCTTTCATTGTCATTTTGACTTTGGGGAAGAGCCGTAGGTCCCACAGTGCCAGATCCAGTGACTAAGGTGGATGAGGACACATCGTGTTTCACAAGGCTGACTTTCTGCTGGATAGCACTTGTCGAGGGCATTAACTATAGTTTCAATCGTGCCTCATAAAAGACACTCACAAAGGAAGACTTCCAGACCTGCTTCAGAAAGTGGCAGGAGCAATGGAATGAGTATGGTCAAGGTAAAGGGAAGATTTTGAGTAGTTTAGTGGCAATGTATCTTTTTCTGTAATAAAACTTTTTAAAATATACTTTTTACCATCTTTCTATAGTGGGCTGACTTCATCTGGAGCAAATATCTGTAAAAGATGCTGCTGTCTCCTGGTTCCAGAGAAACTCAGACAGCACTCCCCCTTGAGATGGTTAAGAGTGCTAGATCTGCTTGTGGCCCATTCAAGTGTTCCCCCTTGTGATCCCAATCAAGGTGACCTCACAGTTAGCCTTAAAATTAATCAATCTCCCTAGGGCCAGGAGAATGGATGATAGAAACCATGTCAACTTATCCCAAGGTGGAAAGCCAAACTCTAAACTAGGGTGGGGGGGCTAAAGTAATATTCCAGGGAAGACCCTGTTTGCCACAGTTACCTCACTTCCCCTCTCAAGCATAAAAGTGTGCCTCTTTTAAGAAAAGGGAATGAATCCAATAGCCAAACAACCTCAAGAGTTTAAGAACGTTTAATAGGCAGGGCCAGAGGTTTAGCTGAGTGGCACAAGCGCCTGCCTGGCAAGTGTGAGGTTGTGAGTTGGATCCCTGGTACCAAAAGAAAAAAGAAAAATACTTTAAGAACAATTTTAAGATAATAATAATAGTATTCTTCTTTTGGATGGTTCCAACCATCTTTTAGATGACAACTAAGGAATTTTTCCCATGTGTACGGATAAGTCTCACCTGTTACAATCAAGATAAGACTAGTTTTTGTCCATGGGTGTGGACCCCTTCTTTAGAGTAGGAATACTTTGTAATCTCGAAACCCATGGAAAAATCCACATAATACAATTTGCCATCTTGGATGTTTCTTGGATAACAATGCTGATGTAAATCTAAGCAGCTTGCTTTGAGCAGTCAATAAATTATCCAGAGAGGTGCTGAATTCCTTTCCTGGGACTCTGTCCAGTAAACTGTCACTCTGCATAGATTTTGCAACAATGTCCATCTTAATCACCTCTCTACACAGAACCAGGAGAAAAAGGCAAAGACGGGAGACATGGGAGAGAGAAAGGAATTCAGCTGTAGCCCTGTGCAAGACACTGGCCCTCAGCCCAGGAACCCAATTATCTGAGTTTTACCACGAGCACTACTTGATCATCTACACAGCACCCCTCCGCGAACCTGAGCTCAGAGGCCACAGCTTTCTCTGCAACTCTGGTTGCCATCAGCAATCTACCAAACAATAACCCGTTCAGTGACATATATAGATTTAGTCCTTAGGCTCATGAAACAGTAAGGAGACATGAACATGAAAGACAGGAAGGAAAGAGAAGATAAAGGACATGTTTATACATAATTGCTATGCAAGCTGGATGTGGTGGCCCAGCCTGTAATTCCAGGACTCTGGGAGGCTGAGGCAGAAGGATAGCAAGTCTGAGCACATTCTGGACTATTCAGTGACTTAGACAAGACCTTGTTTCAAAATAAAAGGGACAGAGGGATGTGGCTCAGTGTGAAGGCTCTAGGTTCAATAACAACAAGTACTAAAAAAAGAATTGTTACCCGAGACACAACACTGCTCAGTCTGGGCCTGGAGTAGGCCCTGGAAACGCTTCCAATCAAGTTAGCAGGCCCTTGTGTGCTGGTTAACTCAACCAATTCACCACCAGATTTCTTACATTTGCCAAGTCGAAACCACAACCCTAAAAGCCAATGCATTGCAAGGAAAGTCCTTGGTTTTCAGGTGTTCCAGTTGTAAGCCTTCACTATCTCCCCTGGCAGGGCACTGGGCCCCTCTTCCCTCCTGGGGAAGGGATGGGCCCCTCTCTTCTTCCACTGTACCACTGGGTACCAACTGTGCCTCTCTGTTCCAAATCAGAGTTCCTCAAGTATTATTTTACTATGGCCCTGCTTTGCATGCAAGGAAGCCTTTAAAACTGTTTTTATCCTATTAATCCCTGCCCAGGCAGTTTAAATACCACGATGTACAGCACATCAAATCTTTTGACTGTAGCCCTTTGGGAAACCAATCTAAGACTGCTGTCCTATCTAAGACTGTTCCTGCTGGCCCCAGACCAACCGTTAGGAATTCATGGCCCAAAGGCAGAGACACAGCACCTTTTGAGGAGGTAGCAGATCTCAGGAAGATGGAGATGAGGACCAGGAGGGCTGAGGAAGCAGCCACAATCAGTTCCAGTGGACAAAGCACTGGAAGACCAGTAGATCAGTGCAGCCAAAAGAACATGAAAAATCTAGACTTCGTTGGAAATCAGTGCTGCCAAGTAATTTGGAAAATTTTTCCAAGTACAGAAAACTGGGTTTTTCTCCAAGCTGTTCACTGACAATGCCTACTTGAGGGTTTTTTTTTTTAAGGGCAAACAAAGAAAAGGAATTTGAGGCTATTGTATACGTGGAGGTGAATGCCAGAAGGTGCTGCATGACACAGGGCTGTGGAATTTAAGATCCCACCAAGCAGGGATGACCCACACAAGTCTCATTCATCAACCAGACTTATGGGTGGTATTTTGGGGAAATAGGCAAAATTTTAATTCCTCTTAACACCAGTTTTAGAGATAATTCCTCCCAACCCCACTTAGACTCTCAATGTACCACCTAAAATTTTCATGGATCCTAGTATGAAGTCCCCATCTCACTGCCCCGCAGGCCTCCAGGCTCTGCTCCTCCCTACACCTGTGCCAGCTGCATGGTGTTCCCCCTGCCCCATGCAAGGCCTGGATGACTCTGCCCTCCCTTCTCCCTTCTCTGTACACCCCCACCTGGATGTCACATCGTGAGTTCTTGATTGTCTTTTGCCTGGTACTTGCCTGTAATTGTTTCTCGTATATCAACATTGGAGCCAAGTGTCCAACAGATTGTGACCTCCTCAGAGGTTATAACTGTGTCTTATAGCTCTCTTCCTCCTCTCCCCACAGACTGATTGCAAGGGTCCTACTGCTGTTCAGGCTTTTCATAGTGAAATTCTAACATTCTAGAAGACTTCTTTTAAAAGATGGAATCTCACTATGTTATCCAGACTGGCCTTAAATTCCTAGGCTCAAGATATCCTCCTGTCTCAGTTTCAAGACCACAGCTGGCCAGGGCTTTTTTTTAAATGTACAGATAAAAGTATGAACCAGGCGTGGTGGTACACTCTGGGAGGCTGAGGCAAGAGGACTGCAAATTCAAGCTCAGCCTGGACACCTAATTGACTCAGTGAGACCCTACCTCAGAATGAAAAGGGCTGGAGTTGTAGCTGGGTTTAAAGTCCCTAGATTTGGGTTGGGGATTTAGCTCAGCAGCGTAAGTGCCTGCCTGGCAAGCATGAGGTTGAGAGTTTGATCCCAATACCAAAAAACAAAAAAATAGAATGTCTATTTAAAGTCCCTGGGTGCAGTCCACAGCAACACCACACACACAAAGATACAATGCTGATAATACTGAATCTGTTTTCCTTAGGATGAAGAGATCCTTCCAAGTACTAAGAGAATCTATTCGTGAATCCCCAGTGCTGCTATGATATTAACACTCTTACATAAATGGTCCTTTAAAAAAAATAATCACTTGAGATGCAAATTTCTAGGGTTTTTTTCTCCTAACAAGCAGCATGCGTATAGTCCTGAACCTAAAGGATAATGTGGTTTACCACAGCCCTCAGACAAGAACTGGAATTCGCTGAAATTTGATGGGTTATTGTGCAGCCAGAGGATGAGAACAACTTTTCACCTAAGTCCGAGGAATGAGGAGAAGAACAATAGAGGCAGCTCACAGGGAGAGTGGCTGCACCGCAGGCAGGATTGAGCAGCACTTTGAAATCTGCCACTAGCCCCAGCCCATGCTGTCTCCAGCTTGGTGCTCGCTTTCATTTATCCAGGGATCAGTAGCCAGGGGGGAAAAAGTTTCATTCTCCAGCTGTTGTGTCATTTCCCTTGATAAGTCCTAAATTGACCGCGTTATCCACCACCAAAGGAGCCTTCCTGTGGTAGGCATTTTTTATTATGTGCCCTTTCAAGGGACAAAGGTGGCCATGTCAGTAAACTGCCATAGGGAGAAGAGGCAAAGACAGTATTATTCTCTCAGGTTCCTAAGCATGCTTTTCAGAGGGCGTAACGTGAGCATAAGAAATTAGGCAACATTTTCATCTCTTAGCTTGGCAGTGTGGTCATCGGGGGAAAGAGAAATGCAAACTACTGTCTTCTTCAAGAGCAATTATTGGCACAGAAAAGCCCAACTGAGACATTTCAAGTCTGTATGTTTTTGTGCAATATTTGAACATATTTGGGTAGATCTCCCCTTGCTGGCTTTTATTTGCTAAGTACTAAAGCAGGATGCTTTTACATCTCACAAGTGGCAGCAAGAATGGGAGGTGACCTCAGCTGCCATAAAAATATCTTGAAGGATGATTGTGCAGGTGCCTTGAGACAGGAGCTTGGTGGGAGACAAAGAGCAGGTTCTGCGGTGTGGGTTTGTCCATCCGTCTGCTGTTAGTGAAAACCATTTCCTTATGTGCCATAATAGACAGAAGGGACTCGGCTGCTTGTTGATAAATTGACCCTGTTTTTGAAAACATCTCCACAGATCCTCAAACGGCAGCGGGTGAGGTGGATGGGGTTAATCTGGAGGAGATCCGAGAATTTGCCAAAGCTTTTAAAATCCGGCGCCTGTCCCTTGGCCTGACCCAGACTCAGGTGGGACAAGCTCTCAGTGCCACAGAGGGGCCCGCATACAGCCAGTCGGCCATCTGCAGGTAACCCGTGCCGCATGCTGTCACCCATCCCGGCCGGCCTGGGCCTCGTTTGTCCGCGTGGCTCAGCTTTTCTTCTTCGGGTGGGCAGAGCTGGAGGGGTAGAGCGTGGGAACAAATTTGGGTGGATGTATGCTGCCGTGGGTGATCCGGGTGGGAATGAGGGTGCTCGAGCAGATTCGAGGGGTGCTGGTTCAATAACTCCTGTCAACTCACCAAAGACTTCCAAGGCGGGGTCACTGGAGCCACACTAACCTGGGCCAGGAGCCTTCCTCCTGGTCCCCCAAATCCTGCAGCACATCTGTGTCCTGAGCACGTGGTGCACAGCTGACAATCTCCATTTGTGTTGATGTTCCCGCTATTTCTGACCACAGAGATGGCCCTCAGGATTTTCCAAGAAAAGATGCATTTTAAAAAAATATACCTATCTGTGACCTTGAAGGAATTTTTAAATGTCTTCCCAGAAACAGCTTTCAAAGGTCATGTTAAAGAAAGAAGCGGCTGCTTTAAATGGCTCAGAAAAGAGTAGTGAGAATCTGGCTTGGGGGTGTCTGCCCCCACCCACCGCCACCAAATTAAATAAATAAGTGACCAAATCCAGCCTTGGTTATGTGGAGTTGAACTGGGTTAAGTCGTCAGAAGCAGACCCCGTGCATGCATGTGTGTTGCACTAATCCCATGTTTATGCATGAGGTCACAGAGGTACTTGGGTAAGAGCTTTTTCCTCTTGGGCAATGCCTTATGAGTCCTCCTCCATCAAGAAAAGCCAAGAAACCAACTCTAAACTCATTTAAGTGGATTTTGTTCTTGGTGATCCATGAAATGCTGTCTTTTTATCTGCTCTTTATACTTTTAATGTATTCCCCAAAGGACGGAAGTGTACTTTTCCTGCAGTTTAAGACTAAGGTTATAAATAACATCAGTATGGGGTAGTAGCTTGCAGCTCACATTTTGCTCAATGATTTTCCATAAAACCCATTGATTGTTGTTAAATACAAAAAGCACCATAGGATCCTCTCACTTCTATGGCCTCCCCTACTGTTTTTTCTTATAAGATACCTCCCTGTAGAAAATAACCTTTATTCAGTCTATACAAGGATACCACTGCTGAGAAATTTGTTTCAAGGCTTGTATATGTTATTCCAAACAACATGTACGGAAGCATCGGCACTAACAAGCAACATCAATGATATGAATACTTGCTCCCTGTTGGGAAACATTAATTTTGTTTCATCTTGACAGGCTTGTGATAAAGGCAGGCATAGGAATTTAAGTTGTTGCCAATTTGCTACTGTTGTTAAATTCCTCTTTGGCCTATTTTTAGCCCTAAAATGTGATTTCCTCTTATTGACTGAAGTGCTAGCTAATGTTTTAACTCTTTTACCTAGCACTGCTTGGGAAACCCCAATCAAATATGTTGATTTCTGAAGTTTTTCCCCAGAGAGGAGCTTAAAAAGGCTACAGAAGGCAGACAGCTTGAAATTTTTTTTGTACCATCCAACAGATCAGATGCTTGCACTTCAGGACCTTTCTCCAGCTTCCAGTGTTTCAAGGAGGTCATTTTAGGAGCCATCAAGAAAAACAAATGCCATAGATAACTAAATAAAAGTCTAGGAAGAGATCAAGTCAGAGCCCTTGTGGCAAGCTCACAGAATGGGAAGGGTACACCTCGGAACATCTGTGCTTGGTCATTTCTCTTAGATTAGCTGCAGCGACTTCTAGGTGCTGCCTTTAGTCCCTTTTTATCAGAGGCAAAGAAAGGAAAGATGTCACCAGGATATTGGACATCCCTACCACAAGCTCTGCCCCTTGGTGCCATGGTTCTGGAGAGGCTGCTGTGCTATACTGTGGCAAAATATGGTATGCGGATAATGGTCACCATGGAGAGATTTAGCACAGCTTGTCATTAAATGATTTGTCCACTTGTATTGGAAGCAAATATACTTCTTTACCTTGACCAGGACTGGAAGCTGGCTTTATTCAGAAATAAACAACGAATCTCCCGCCCAGAACCTTACCCTAGAAGAAATACCATGGCAATCACATTAAGATTTGATACTATTTGTGCTACTTATCACAACAGAAGAAGTCTAAAAACGCACCGCAGGAAATGTGATTATAGTTCCTAAAAAGCGCATATTTTTTACTGTCCTTTGGCAAAAATCTTCACGACACATTGTGACTAATTCAAGTACATAATATGACTAATTACAATAAGATGCTTTCTGTGATCAGGTAGCTGTTCATCCACCTTCAGGGAGCACTTTAAAGGAGAGAAGAGAATTCTGCAGGTCCACAGCTGTGGATACGGGAAGGTTGTGGATTTGGATTTAGAATAAACACACAAATGAATAAAAGAAACTGGTGCTTTTTTTTTTGTATTTCATTGGCAGCAAGTATGAATTTGGTACCAGAATTACCTCTTACAACACTATGTATAATTTTTCCAGAATGTTTCATATTTTTTAAAGTCAATGTAGCAAAGAATTGCTGATGACAACTGATACACAGACGACCTCATTTACAGAAAATGGTATCATTCAAGTACAGTTTGCAGATCTCACGCATTAAACACAGCTTGATGTCCTGGTAGCATAGCAAGCCATTTGGCTGGATGGTGACTGGAGAGCACAGGGCAGGCTTCACACACCCAGGGTGGGCGTTGCGTAGTAATTACAAGGTGCCCAGCTGTTTGAGCCAAAACTGTACAGCAGCAACTGGGCTGTGTTTTACCTGGAAAGGGAGCATCTTGTTAACTTACACATGGTGAAAATTGTTACCAGAGGGGGAGGGGAGTTAAAATGAGACACAAAATCAGAGATAAAAAGAGAGCCATAAACAGGAACTAGTCACAGTTGTCATAAGTGACTGTAATAACATTTTCATAACCAAGATGATGAGCAGGAGGATAAAGAAGACCAAATGTAAAATATAATCATCTGTAGATTGAACTTAAGATCTCAGCACTAAGCTACATTCCCAGTCATTTTTATTATTTTTTATGCCTCGTTAAGTTGCCCAGGCTGGGCTCTGACTTGTGACCTTCCTGCCTCAGTTTCCCAGAGTGTTGGGATGACAGGTGTGCACCACTATACCAAACTATTAAGTTTTGACTCAAGGATTCTGATGATTGGAGAAACAGAGCTGATACAATTGGGGGGAGGAAAAAAAAAAAAAAAAAAAAACAAGAGTAGACGGGGGAGTGTGGAGGGAAAAGAGCTGTGAGTTGTCTGTGTCCCCATCGTGACAGTGCGTGTGTCCTCCGTCTCTGTCTCCTCGCCCTGTCTGTGTGTGTCCCCATGTGCTTTGCATGAACCAGCATGGTGCATGCAGGGAGGGTGGGCACTGGCTCGGGCCGGGCTGGCTCCATGCAGCTGGCTGCTCCTATGGAGCAGGACTTCGCCCTGCCAGGCAGTCTAGCAGGCAGGCAGGCAGGAGGCCCACCCTGGCAGAGGACCCAGTGTAAGACTGTTCTTTCTCAATTCTCCCCCCAGACACACCATCCTGAGAAGCCACTTTTTCCTACCACAGGAAGCCCAAGAGAACACTATAGCTAGCAGTCTCACAGCCAAACTGAACCCTGGCCTTTTGTATCCTGCCAGGTTTGAAAAGCTGGACATCACCCCTAAAAGTGCCCAGAAGATCAAGCCGGTGCTTGAGCGGTGGATGGCTGAGGCTGAGGCCCGCCATCGAGCCGGGATGCAGAACCTCACCGAGTTTATCGGGAGTGAACCGTCCAAAAAGCGCAAGCGGCGCACCTCCTTCACACCCCAGGCCCTTGAGATCCTCAATGCCCACTTTGAGAAGAACACACACCCCTCTGGGCAGGAAATGACCGAAATTGCTGAGAAGCTGAACTATGACCGGGAGGTAGTTAGAGTTTGGTTCTGCAATAAGAGGCAAGCCCTGAAGAACACAATCAAACGCTTAAAACAGCACGAGCCGGCCACCGCAGTCCCGCTCGAGCCCCTAACGGACTCTCTGGAAGAAAACTCCTAAAGACAGGCCCGTGCATTGCAGACCCGAGATCCACAGAAACTAAATGCCACCCTTGGGGACTCCACCCAAACAGAAAGAAAGCAAAAGAAGCAAGAATTAAATTTAAAAACACCCCCTGTGATCATCACCCTTGTATGTAAAAGACAAACCACCAAATGGACAGAACAATTTCTACAGGTCCGTTGGTTTCCCAACAAGAAAAAAAAAATACAAGAAAAAATTTTGGGAAAGTTTTTAAAGAAGGAATACACCCCACAGAAGGTGTGCGTGGTAGGCTAGTTCCCTCCCCCCACCTGTCTCCCCAAAGCCAGTTTTTTAAAAGAAAACCAAATAACCACATACTTTTTTCTGTATATTATGAAAATGTGAACACATTTTAAGGAAAAAGAAAAAGAAAAACTAAACTGAACAAAAAGAAAAAAAAGAGAAAGAAAAAGAAAAGAAAAAAAAAATATCAACAAAAACTTGTATCTGTTCAAAGTGAATACAAGCCTGCCACCTGCAGGAGGGTCTGTATCCTGCCGGGTTCTAAGTGCTGATTCACTATGAAACCTATTAACCAAAGTCAAAAATATGGCATTGCAAACGCAATCGTTCGTCTACTCTTTCTTCTCTGCGTGTAAAGTTGTGTTACGGATTTTTACATTTGTACTAACGGAAAAATAGGAAGCCTGATTTCTGCCATCTTTCCCCCATCTCCTGTCTCCCCAACAGGGTGGGTGCCGTCAAAGTCATTCTGTGAGGCTCACTATTGGTTCTGTGTATTTTTTTTCCGTTCTTGTTGCGGTTTGTTTAAAGGTGGGGAGAGGGGGGCATCCTGGATCCTGTGCCAAAACACTGGTTGCTTTCTTCTCACTAAGACTTGTGGGTTTGAGAAACGGAGCTCGCCTTTCCCCGTTCATCTCCCATTTCTCCCTGGCACATGGGGTTGCTGGACAGCAGTGGCTTTTCCACTACTGACATGCAGGAGAGACTCCCCAGCAACTCGGGCTTTGCTGAGTGAACTGTTAACGCCGCCTTAAGCTCTAATCATGCTCACTGTCCACAACAGAGCTTGGGATTTTGCTCAGTCTGCTGGCCACATACATGAAGAGCTGACCAAAATGAATTTTGTAATATAAACATAAGCTGCATATTTGGTTCAGTACTTACATTTTGTTATGCTTCTGTGCAAAGCAATTTCTCTCAAAAGTCTGATAGCCAAAGAAATGTCTCCAGATTTCAGTCAAAATACACACAGGCATGCACACACCCGTATCCACTCGCACGAAGAAACAGGTCACAAAGAAAGTGGTAGCAACCAGGTCCTTAAGACCCATCGAGTATCCTGTTAATCCTTTTCTGCTAGTGCTTACATCTGACAGCAATGGCAGACTTTTGGGGGAGGAATCTGTTCTTGGGATATATACAGGAAGCAAAAAAGTGATAGGCAAATTTAAGCAGTTGGATTTGGGCCTGGAATTAGGTTCTAAGGACTAAGAAATTTTAACAGTGAAGGGTCTCCACTGAAAGATACATATATAGAAGTAGCTCATGTACCACATCAGAATAGCCTTCACTATAAGAATCAGGGGGTTCGCTCATTTTAAAAATGACTTCCTCAGAAGATCTGTGGGTCATAGTAGCCAAAGGAGCCCAAAGATTGTGCAGGGATTTAAAGACAGCTGTTGAGGGCCACAGCTGGAATTGGCACCTGATGTTCTCACCCAGGTGGAGCAGAAGGTGTTCCATCAAAGAAAAGGGCAAAAATAATTGTCAATTTGCTTGCTGTTGAACTGTAAATATCTATGAGTAATTAATTAACAACCATGCTCATGTATTATCTGGAGATAAATTGTGAAAGGGAGAAAGAAAACCCACCCCAAGTTGCCCACTTTATTAGAAATTCCGTCTCCTTCCCCCAACTCCGTCCCTCCCCTCAGGGCTTCTGGTTGCTTCTTCTTGTGGCCCCTTGACACATTGCATACCTGAGCCCGCATAACTGCCCCGTAAGATGATCTGTGCAACAGTCAGGAGACCCCAAGGAAAATCTTTTTAAAATCCTGGAAGTGGAATCAGTTGCTTGTAAAACTGTTTCTACTTCACCGTCTGATGCTAACCGGACCACACCCTTCCTGATCCATGCCAACTGCATCATGGTACCCATTTCGCCACCTCATAAACTGCACCAGTACCAACAACTCAGAAACCCACAACTTTATTGATTAAAAACAGATTTTGTATTCTCCTAGGACCTGTTCCAAATTCCATCAAGAAAAGCTCCCCAGGAAGAGAAGTTAACAAGATAACATATGACGGATGCTAAATGTTTAAATATATGCCGGCAGCTGTTACATAAGGCCTGCACAGCCCTGAGATCTATAATTGGGAGGGAATAAGTAGGGCAGTGGAAACACAAAAGCAATCGTCTGGAGTGGAACAAAAAAAGAAATATATTCATCCCACAGTCATGAAACCATTCACGTGCGGTGATTTTTTTTAAAGTTTTATAATTTTGTATTGTTTTTTAAATTATTTATAAAGTGTTGTAATGCTTCTTATATTAATTTTTTACAGATAAATTTTTTGCTACAAGGCATAAAAAGGTGCCTGAACAGATTCTTAGAAATATAAATTGTATCATGTAATGCACCAGTCTTCAGGACCACACCTATCACTTAATTTTATTATGACCTGTCTGATTTCCACTTGTAAACAACTTCATATGCCAAACATCATTTACGTGTCTTTTATGTTTCTGTGAACTGAAGGTTAAGGTTGCCACCACCAACAACAAAAAATGAATAAAAGCCACTTTGGGCATATGCGATTGTACTTCAAGCTTCAATATTTCCTTCACAAATTTTTAAGTCATTGTCATTTTCGTTTTGTTTGTGATTCGATAGAAAACGTCAGTGGATGTTGTATTCCACACTTGTTTGTGGGAATTTTTTCTTTGTCAGCCAAAAGAAATATTTTGAACAGTTAAAAGCTTCATAAGCATTTTCAGGGTTTGGGTTTTTTACATTGTAATCACACAGACACACAGGCACACAACACAACACGAAAGAGTGAACACACAAGCAAAAGGAGCTAGGAAAAACAGAACAAGTAGAGGCGTGTCAAAGAACTCAAGCTATAACCAAAAAGAAATCGTAAATTGCCTTTGTTCATCTTCTCTATGCTGGACCAAAGCTCAGTATTTGTAGGTATATGCACAGTGTATAGATATGGCTAAATGTTGCTGACAATCTCGCAATACTAAACTGTTCCTATTTTATGAAGAAGGAAAAATAAAAGGAATACAAACTGTTCATCAGTGTTTTACCTCAGCACTCTGCTTGTCCTCGGTCAATGACCAAGCATAAACAAAAAGAAAATCGATTTTCATTTCCATGTTCAACTGTAAGACCTGTTTGGAAAATATTTTGTAACGAGCTTTTTTGTCACGTGATTCGTTGCCTTCAACTTGAAATTATGTGAGGCACATTGGTTTATCTGTTAAGGAGGTGAATTTATTTTTTCTCTTTCTTTTCTGTTGGTTTTTGTTGTTGTTATTGATGTTGTTTATTTATTTGTTTTTTTGTCCTATGTGCTGTGATCTAGACTGGTCACCAGGGTCACTTAGGAGGCACCACAAGAGTTCTGCTTCTCCACGCCTGGAGCAGGCAGCAGGAGGGAGGGTAGAGAAACAGACTGGGTTGTTCCGGAAAAACCATCGTGACGAGAAGTTGACATGAGAGACTTGTGACCAAGAAGCCAAACTGGATATTTCAAAGCTCCTTACTTGCTCTGACATTGAAACCAAAGCTGATTTATCTGCACAGGTTGCTTAATGTTTAAAAAAATAACTGTACTTAATCTAGAGCAATATCTGTATGGTTGGTAAAACTGCACTTTGTGTTTTTCTTAACAGCTTCAGATCTGTCACTTTTAATTTGTACCATAAAAAATAAAGAATTGTTTGACATGAGTGTCTAGGTTCAGTGTGTCTTGCACTCAGATATGTCATGTCAAATGTATTTGTGTAAGCTTATGCTATAGTCCCAAATCTTAAGAAAACGAAGAGGTTTGAGACAGACTGGTTAATATCATGATTATTTTAATTCTTCACAGGAAATACACACCAGGTGAGATCTAAATATACAGTGAATATTTAAATTTTAAAATGTATTATAGCGAAAGATACATTGCCATTAGGCCCTCTCCAAAAGACTCCCTTTGATTTCAAACACACTCATCCCATCGCTCTTGCCATCTTCTGGAGAAGTCCTGGAAGTCTTCTTTTGTGTACGTCTTTGTGAGTTGTGATCAACACTGTGGTGAATGTGGAGTCATTCGGTGGAAAGACGGGACAGTAAAACCATTATAGTGTGTCCTCACCCACCTCATTCGGCAGATCTGATGCCATGTGACTTCCTGCTCTTCCCCAAAGTCAAAACAACCATGAAAAGCAAAGGTTTTAAATTGATTCAGGCCATCAAGGCAGCCACAAAAGCGCAAGTCCAGGCACTGGTGATAAAAAACGTCCAGAAGACCTTCAGAGAGTGGCAAGTGTAACGGGATAAGTATGTTCAAAGTGAGGGACAGTACTTTGAGGAGAGATTAATAGTAACGTGCCTTTTACTCTAACGTATTTTGTAAATTTAAATAGTCATTGTATTTTTCAATCATGCCAAGTAGTCACTGGTACTTCTTCACTTGCCAAGTTACAAAAATTCAACTCCAACTTGACCAAACAACAAGTCAAACTCTGCTGTTTGACTCCCTGGGTTGTTCCTCTTGTAGCTGTCAAATACAGATGGATGCAAAGGTTTCAAGAATGTCATCATGTTGTGATCCATGTGGCTTCTGTCTCATGTGCATTATCAACCATCAAGCCCGGGGCCTTGAGTGGGTGAGTCATCTGCCTGCCTCCACGTTAGACAGTGGTAACTCAGTCATCCTGGGTTACGGACACCTCCTGTTTGCAGAAGGGTGTGGGGTCTCATGATGACTAAACCACAAGAAATGAAAGAAAGCCCAGAAGGAGTGAAAGACCAGAAGGCAGACGATGAGCCATAATAGTGGCAGATAAAACCGAGAGCCATCACAGGCAGCTGCTCACAGCCAGCTGGGTGCCAATGCTGCATGGGGCTTTGCTGAGGGGCTACTGTGCTTGGCTCCTCGTGATGTCTGTAGAGTCTGGAAAACTGAAGCATTTGGAATAGGCTCCTGCTTGTCTCTTAATGTAGCTGTGAGGAATAAAGTAATGTTGTCATGCATGTAATTTACTAATTCAAAAGGCAGATGGTAGCACCTTACTAAAAATATCAGTGAAAACATGGTAATAGTTATTAGCCATAATATCTGTTCTTTTTGTGACCTTTACTAAATATTTTTTATGCTACATGGAAAGCCATGTATCAACTTCATTTTATGCTTCATAAATGTTTTGGGTAGTAACAAAACCCAAACTCTGAATGCCTGGACACTGAAGATAGTCAAACAAAGTGGTCAAGAACCTTAGAATGACTTGGATAGAAGCACAAAACAATATGCCCTCGTGGGTAGAAAGAAGACTAAAAGACAAAAGAAAGTCATTTAAGCTTTCTTTCCATGTAAAATATTCTAAAACTATTCTGGATAAAGGTCCTACCCATGATTATGCCTATTATTATGACATATGTTTGTCTTCTTTTTAAAAAGCCATCCTTTAAAGTCAATTATTTCATATCCTACAAATATCCGATGAGCACATCTTACATGCCAAAAAAATTCTATGTGCTAAGGGCTCAGAAATAAACAAATTTTCTATTTCAAGAAATCTATCCCCATTGTGTGAAAAAAAGGTAATTTTTTTCCAGAAGTAAAAACATGCCACGTCTTCTTGTACTACAATATTTCACAAATTAAAGTAAGTTTCAAAATTAAAATCATGAAAAGTAGCTTTGAGAATGACTTCAAATACAGAAAATAAAAGGGCAGGAATTACATCAGCTTAGGAAACAATAGGCAAAGTCTGCTTTAACTGATTCCAAAAGCTGTTCCAATAATAATTTTCTACTAAATCAACCAGATACACACAATGTATTCAGTGGCGACTGTAAATCTATGGTTGGAAAGAGTCCAGAAGCTATTGTGTCACTAACAAACTCTGGTCTGAGCTTCTTATCTATTGCCCTCCCCTTTGAAAGGAGACCAGAGGCACCCATTTGGCTTAGCTCTGGTCCTTTGAGGACAGTTAACTCAAGGGGGGAAAGAAATCATACTGGGGAAGCTCTCAGTGTATTGAGTGGAGGTCTTTCTAAAACATTAAATATTTGTTTTCTTATGTAGATCATAAATGTAATGTGTCCTGTTTTGTTTTGTTTTGTTTTGTTTTTTGAATGGGAGTTGAGCCCAAGGCCTTTGCACTGAGCGACAACTACAGCCCTGTTATTTTTTTTATTCTGAGACAGGGACTGAATAAGTTTCTTAGGCTACAGCTGAACTTGTGATTCTTTTGCCCCAGCTTCCCAGAGTTCTGGGATTACAGACATAGACACCATACTCGGCTTTATCCTAGTTTTGACTGCCTTTTGCCTCATGGTTGTTTAATCCTTGTTAATGAACAAATACCAGCCACCTAAGCAGAGATGTAGAAGTCATCTCAAACCAGTTTATCTGTACTCACACATACCAGGCAATTCTGCTCCATGGTTTCCTTCAGAACCTGTCTTTTGGCTTCCACTGCCCACTGTTAATAACTATTTTTGAGACAACCACCTCTCATCTGGATTTCCATGATATGTTCTTCTTAATTTCCTCATATTTATATATTTGCCATTCTAAAATTATAGTTGTCATTCTAAGAAGTCAATCTGAATGTACATCTCTCTTTGAAACTCTGCCAGGGTTTCCTGCTGCCCCCAAGATGAACAGCAGACTTCAGCCTAGCACACAACACTTCCCATAACCTGATCCTTATTAATTTTTAGCCTGATCTCTCATAAATTCCTTGTTTATTCAGTTGTGTCCTAGTCTCCCCAAACTTTCTAAATTTTTTCCAATTTCCAAACCATTTTTGTGTCATACCCTCTGTGTGGAATATCTGCGCTCTGTACTGTTTGTCCACCTAATGGCTACACATTCTGTAAGACTCCACTCTTTTCAGTCGATAAATAGTTTTTAGATTTTAACTATGTGTGAGATACCATGTTCCTTCATCATAACATTTATCATTTGCATATCTATTAGTCACAACCTGTAAGTTACAAGATCATTGCCACACATGTCTGAATGGCCTGTAGATTTGGCTTCCAGATAAGTGTAATAAATTTGAAGGTCTATTTTTAACCATTCTAACTTTTTATGTGACAGATTACCCTGGTGTAAAATATAACAATAATCTCGCATTTGTATAATTTCAAAAGCTCTCTCGATTGCACTATTTAACTTGCTCTTAATGTAAGCCCATAGAAATGTGATGATTCCTATTTCATAAATGAGATCTAAGAATCATAAAAGCCTATGCTTGACCAAGATCAGAGTCCAGAGGTAGATCTGGCACGTCAATACAATAGGAATTAGAGTACTCATCACGGCAAATACCCACGTAATGACACTGAAATGGTGTCTGACACAACCACCAGGAGAAGAAAAAAATCTCCAATATATGGTAGCAAACAAGGCTTATTGTTGTTGATGCTAAATTTCAGTTATCTAAAGATCAAGTCCAATACGATCTAGTGACCTTAGTGAGAATGATTTGTGGTTAGTAGTAAGACATGTAATGGGAAATGAGGAAAGTCTAAGAATTCTGTTTCATTTCATTCTTACTGAAACTTAGAACTAAAAATAGAGTTCTAATCATTCTGAAATGACGAAGTTCAAAACTGAAAGGTGAAAGAGAAAGTCACTAACCTCACCTACATGTGAAGATCAAATAGTGTTAGTGTGTAGAAACAAGATGCAAGGATCTGGGTCGGTGGGTCCACTTCAGAACAGTCTCTCAGCCTCATGCCACTTTTAAGAATTTTGATTATTCTCTGAAGGGTAAATACTTTAGTTTTGCCAGACCTGCTGCGATGGTCATTTGGGAACAAATCATTCACTTCCTATTGTCTTAACCATGTCCCCAAATCTGGGATTGCTATAAAAGTACCTATATGTATGCATGGGCTTTGTTATTGAATTCATGAAGCCATCCTCTCTGAAACAAGGGACATTTCCAATGAAACAAGGGATTTAGCTATTTGTATATGTGCAGTCGCGGGAGATCCAGTACCACTGAACAACCAGCTGTGTAGAAGTCCAAAACCTCATCTTCAAAGAGCAAGGAACCCAGAAGCTATGATAGGACTTGTAATAAACCACAATATGGAAACCTCTTAGAGATGTTCTGAGTTAAGATTCTGGATAAAAGCAGAGGGAAAAAAAAGACCAGCGACTCTTGGATGATCTCATTTCTAAGTCTGGAACTATTACCTGAGATTCTGTTTAGACTTGCACAATATAATAAATGTTCTCATAGAGGAAGATTCTCTAAGACTTACTTATATGTTGACTAATGAAACTCTTTAATGTATCATGGAGGTGAGCCTCAAGAGTCCCACTGGTCTGGCTATTATTTAGGCCATGTCTATGAGAGCAACTGGAGGTAAAGATATCATTTGGGAAACATTTTTGCTGTCAGGTTTTGGGTTGTTGGTATCTTTTACTTTACCAGTAACCTATACTTGAAATAGGAAACAGAATACATGAAGAAATGAAGAAACATTTTCCTTGTGAGAATATTGTACTTTAGTTTATTTCTTTATATTTCTCTATTGCAATATCTATAGATCATCTTAAGTGATTTTCTTTTTAAAAAAATTTTTTTATTATTTTGGAGGTAGTAAAATACAATAGAACAAGACAGAACAAAGCCAACTGAGACAATGCAATTAAATTGGTACAGAACATCACAGCAGGTTACCAGGATAACAGTAATAGGTACCATAGTATATTTCG